AAGTGTATCAACCTGTACTCTGACCTTAGAAAGAAGTAAACTGTATTTCGACTAAAACTCATCCAAGTTTACACACCTTTCGACTCTCGCCCATTTGACATACCAACATTATTGGTTTCAATCAACATATGCAAAATGATTTACTTCTCTCTTGGGCCAGATTGTAGTTGAATCATTAAATTTAGAGAAAGCACACACATACAAAAAATGGATACTTTTATTTAGTATAGAAGTAAATATGTATCAAACATTAATACAATTTTAAAATACTTTTTCAGGAAAGTGCTACTGAAAAAATAAGTAATCTTATCCACAGTTGCACTTCTCATCAAGGGAAAATTTTATTTTTGGATGCATTTTTTCTCACTATCAAAGATGATTGGATGTCAATAAGTCAGCATCGTATTGATAAATTTATGATGTTGGTGAGGCGTTGCTTAAGGCAATTGCTATTTACCTTTGTCAATTGTGATTGGGAAACGGAGTATTTGGAGAAATTTAATGAAGTTTTGTATAGGGCTCTTAAGTCGTTCACACTTAGTTTGAGAACTCATTTACAAGAAATTTTCTTGGAAGAACTAGCTAAAGTAAGCATTTTTTCTTTGTATGTATATGATTGTTAATTTGTGTTTTATATTTTTAGGTAAGTAGAGGAAAAGTACCTACTCATGCATTGGTCATTATTTTAGACTCATTCTTACATTACATTTCTGAGCTCAATGATTTTTTGTTAATCAAAGAAGTTACCCAAAATGTATTTAGAAATCTTTTATCCCAATCACCTGATTTAGAAATGTTAGAAGCTAAATTTGAAGCTTGGCGAAAAGTAAGTAATTTAACAAGTATTTTAATTATTGGTTTATTTTATCACATTTTTATTAGTGATTGTTTGAATCCAAATTAAACTTTATTTTAATTTTAATATTTACTAAGCTGATTCAGGCTATTTAAATATTTCATTAATCTCCATTAAAAAAAAAAAAAAAAAACTATACATATCTCAATAAAACGAAAAAAAGTTTTAAATTATACATTATATCTTAATTCTATAAAATCAATATTTATCACTACTTAAAATAGTTATAAAGTTTATTAAACACATAGATATAATACAATTTATTATTAAAGTAAAAATTTTAATTATATATTATATAATGTATATAGTGTAGGGCTCAGTACTCATATGTATAGGAAATAAAATAAATTTAAAAAAATAAAAAAATAATTTTTTTTTTTTTAATTGCAATAAGATACTCCTAGCTTTTGCTATCTAAAAATAATTATAATTGTTTACCAACTTTTACTTATAAATGTATTTAAAATAATTGTTATCATTTAAGTAATATTAACTGTAGTTAAATAAAATACATTTTATTTATGTAATTCAGCTTAAAAATTATGTTAGATATATAGTTTAGTTAAACTATTTTAAACTATAATTTAATTAATTTCAATAATTTTTTTTTTAGATGGGTAAACCAGGTAAATCTTATAATGACTTAGAATTGGTTGAAGGCGATATAGCAGATGACAATTCTGATGAAATAAATGACGGCCCATTAGATCCTCGTGCTGGTAATGTAAGTGTTGAAATACCTCGCATAAAGTTTGATCCTAAAGCTATAACAAAGCTTTTAAATAAATATGTAACTGATATTGATTGTACCAAAAAATGTTTAATAGAAATAACTAAATTAGTAAAATGGTATGATCGTTTGGGTGGTGGTTTACTACCTTATAAACCAAAAGATTTGAAACTAAATAGTCAAGTATTAAAGCGAAAAAAGAAAAAATATTTGTCTAAACTGGTAAAAGAAGGAATTAAAAAATTAGAAATGGTTGATTCTAAGATTAAAAAAAGTAGCCGTGAAGTTAATGACCATAAAAGTCTTAAAGAACTTAATAAGATGGGTGAAATTGTAGTTGAACATGGAAAAATTGGAAAATCTACATGGAAAGTAAGGAAGTTTGATAATGTCAATACTTTAAAAGAGAATTTCAATTTAAATGGGTCTTGGACTGTATCAGATGAAACTAAAAATGATGACACTAAAACTGTGCCTGTTACTGATGATGAACCACCACTTCTAGTTCCTGCTGGATTTAATGTTGAAGTTTCAGAAACTCAAGAAAAAACACCAACTAAAGTTCAAAAAAAAGTTTCTTTAACACCAGATTTGAAATCTTTAACAGTTGATTCATCTTCAAAAACCAGTAATTCTAATAAACGCAAAAGTAAAAGTCCAATATCTAAAATTAGTAATGAATCAAATCAGAATAATAATCAAAAATCAAATTCTCCTTCTATTAAAATTGGTACACCTAATACTTTAAATGCAAGCCATAACAGCAGTTGGTCAGTATCTCCAGCTAATGCAGGGTCTGCATCTAAAAAGGTTAATAAAAGCATTGAGTCTGCTAAACCAGTAAATGCATCACCTTTAAATGATAAAAGTCTTACGTCAGATAACAAAATTGAAAAAAAAAATAAAGTTGATGATTTAGTTATGTCCAAAATAAAACGGCGCTCAGAAGAAATTAATATTATTAATTCAAGTCTAAATGAAAGTTGGAGTGTGTGCAGTGATGAAAAACTCAAAGTTAATAAATGCACTACTCCAGTATCAAAAACTGCTGATGAACTAGATAACAAAAATATTCAAAACTCAAACTCTCCTATTGTTAAGAATGATTCGCCTAATGTTGTAAACACAAGTCACAACAATAGTTGGTCAATATCTGCTGATAATGGTTCTGCATCTAAAAAAGTTAAAAAAAGCAATGAATCTGGTAAAGTTGAAAAACGTAATTCATTATCATCTGTTATTACACCGGATAAGAATTCCAAGAGCCCTAAAAGCCCTAAAAGTCCAACTCCTGAACAAAGAGTATTGCGACGAAGAACAATTATAATTCCCAAGAAGAAACCTGATGAACAAAATCAAGGTACACCTAAAAGAAAAGTGAAAGAAAATTCAGCTACCAAAGTATCGCAAAAACGTAGGAAGACAATAGCAGGGGAAGAAATAAGCATGTTAAAACCTGAAGAAATATCAAACAAAGCCCTTGAGAAAGTGGTAAGTTAAGATAAATGTTGTTACATACAATTTAATTTGATTTACTGCTTTTGTTTATTGTAGCGAAGTGAGGCTTTTGAGGATGGTCTTGGTACTCCTAGAAAAAGTTCAAGATTGTCAATTAAAACTGATTCTGCTAAGAAAAGAGTTGAATTTCAATTGAAAAATAATGTCGAACAAGGTAAAAAATGTTTTTTTTTTAAATAATTTATGACTGAAAAGATTGTTCATGTAATTTTCTGTTTCAGAGTTTATGGAGTATAGGACGACATTAGTGACTAAGCCTGGAAATCCACACGATGCTTCCAAACAGCCAGTCCAAGGAGTTTTGAAATTGACACCAGATGTAAATCGTATAAATCCTTTTTATAAACTCCAAGAACGGTCTGCAAAAAAAAATTCTAGAAAATCTATTATTTAATAAAATTTAACAGTAACTGTTTTTATATAAAATAATAACTCCATTGGTTTTAATCATTGGTAATATTTAATTTAAGTAATTTTTGTTGTGACAAACCGACTTAATGTTAAAATTTTAATTAAAGAAATACACCAATAATTCTTCTGGAAGAACATGTTTTAAAATACTTTATTAGTATCCAACAAAAACTAATAATTAAAATATTATGTTGCTGTATTTTATTAATAGTACTTAAAAAACCTAGGTTCATCTACAATTTAAGTGGAGTGTTCAAAAATAACTTTTAAATTACTATTGAATACAATTACACGAGTCACTAGTCCATCATAAATTAATTAATTTTGTAATAACTCTTGGGCACTATAAATATTGGTAGACTAATGGAATATTTGAAATCGTGTCAAAATTGATCACATCCTTCAAAGGACTTATTTTTTCATTTTGATCCTATTGATATATAATGTATAAACGCTAATTGAAAACACTCTTAAAATCCTTTACTGTCTGAACTAAATCTATGATTATTTAAAACTTAAATCAAGATTTAAAAAATTATTTCAAATGTACAAATGATTTAGATTTTTAAAATGTTCATAATTGACTTTAAAATAATAATATAAAAAAAAACTAAGTGGTACACTAGTAAATATTTTTATTTTTAAAATTGATTATAGATCAATTAATTGTTAGATATATTAAACATGTCAGAGTTAAATGAATTATTCAGAACGAACGATTCACTAGGTATGCTATGTGTTTATAAGACCAAGACACTGCGTGCTGGTGCAGGGTACTCTTAAAGTAAATTTGTATTAAACTATTATAAACTCTTGGAAATTAAATGATAAAGGTTAGGACCTATCCTCGCATAACTCATGTGTTCTTACAGAAATTAATTACCCACTATTTAATATAATGTAACGAATAGAAAAGTCTTAATTCTTATTCGATCGTCAAAAAGTTACTGAAATGACTAATAGCAACATATATAAAAAAATATTCTTTAAAAAATAGGGGCTGTCAAGACAGTCATGCCTAACCACTTTTATTCGCATGCAAATTAGACATAATTTATTATGAAATTAAATTAATTTAATACATCCACCAGAGACTTACAGTTAAAAGTGATCTACTCCTCAATAACGAGGTAAGTATGCGTACGGGACAAGGTGATATTTTTGAGGACTTTTGCTAAGTGATATATTACTTCAAAATATATTTATGAACATAAAATATTTCTTTTCATGATTGTCAAATTGTATTTATGAGTTGGCGCGTTTTGAGGTTTTCCAGGTTGAGGGGGCGTCAGAGCACAGAATTGATGAAAATTTCATCTGCTATAATATTAAGGAATCCTAGGCATATTATAGTATTTATTATTTATTCTGTGGTCAGAGTTCTGAATTTCTGGCTTCTGCCCATTTTATCATGCAATTCATGCTTATCAGCTATGATTTGTTATCAGATGAAGAACTGATCCCATCGGTAATCAGTAATCACTGACCACTTTAGTTTGTAAATAATAATAACTATAAAAATTAAATTGTAATTAATAATTTTTGCTTTTATAGTCTAGACTGTCTAAAGCTGTACATCGTAGATTATGGATTAAACTACGCTCTAGTGCTCATTGTAGTTTACTCCCTACGAGCAACAACTTGTTAATTGTCTGTTAATTATTTAATTCGTTCTTTTTTTTTTCCAATTAATAAACTCGTAAGTCGTATTACCAAAAAAGATTAGTTTAGAAATTGTGTTACCTAAGCTATGTGATTATTACAATGGGCTGTATTTACAGTAGCAGAAAAACTTTACCACCTTTTTTCTTCAAAGTGAGTATATCAAAATTAATCTTGGTGACTTATGTACTAATATAAAATATTAATTATTAACATGCCTTATGGTCACAGGTTATAAATATAGATGACAATGGTAAAGAAAAATACCATGGACAAATGGAAGTCACCGCTTGCAATCTGATATTGCATAAAAGTGGAGAACCGTCTATTATTTGGCCATTAAGTACAATTCGACGTTATGGATATGAAAACTTCATGTTTTGCTTTGAAGCCGGCCGCTCGTCTCCCCTTGGCCAAGGCATATTTGCATTCAGAAGTAAAGACGCCAAAAATATTTTTAATGCTGTCAAAGAAAAATTACAGGTATAATTTAAAAACATTTAGTGTGTTGTTATTATTAAATATTAATTATGCATTTAAACAAAATTAAGAGAAAAATACATTATTGAATGTATAGAGTTAATATAAATAATTTAAAATATAATTGAACAAAATAAATTTAAATTAGATTTGTATAAGGTTGATATATTTTAATTTGCTATGACTTGTGATTAATAAAATAAATACATCTATTTAATATAAAAGTGAATAATGAGGTTAAAGGATTTAGATTGACTCAGATTTAAGATCTAAAAATGTTTTGAATGACACGGTTTATTACATTAGCACATTGAATATCTTATAAACCAAAATTTATGTTATGTAATTTTTTTCTTTAAATTAAGAAAAAGTTGTGTATTTTAGATTGACAGTGGAACAGATATAATTAAAGATATTACTTCTGAAGTACGTAATTATTCTGGTCAGTCATGCACGAGTACACATACTATTGAAAAAGTATATGATGAGTTTAGTTTCAATGGACATAGGTTTAGTAGCGAGTCAAATAACATCATCCAACCTCCTGATCTAATGCTAGACCCAGATATTCCATTAATACCAAGAAGTTCTTATGTAAACATGCTAAATGACAATGAAGAAGACGAAGATGATTTATTTTATGATCCTTTTGAGTTACCTAAAGATACTCCTACTTATACTGAAGTTGAAATAGCTGTATGCACACCTAAAAGGAAGAGTGAATCATTGCCTACTTCCCCGACAGATATACCAAGTTATACAGCAATAGATTTCAATCAAACAAAGCATTTAAGTCAAAAAATGCTTAGGGGTAGTGAAGATGCTGGAATCAGGAAAACTAGAAATGATTCTACAATGAGCAATCCTTAATGTCATCAGAACAAACACAATTTGGAGACCAATTTTAAGTTTTTGCATTTATATTGCTCAGTGCTTTTTTTTTTTTTTGTTATAAAGAGATATGTCTAGAACAAAATTAGTATTTAGTTGTATAAGGATAAATAAAGGTTATATTTCAAAATCATTAGGAATAAAATAATTCCTAATAACATTATCAGCAGTTAATATTTACAAGTTTATTTGTTTAATAATCATACCAAAGCCAATGTGATGTGTTTTCAACACAGATCTTTTTTAAGTTACTAATATTTATATGTACTGTCAAACACTCTGAATAATTACTGTTATGTTATTATAGTAGTTTTAAGATCTGTTCATTGTTATTTTGTGCCATATTCCTTAAGGTTATTTAGACTGAATAATTTTCTTTGTTAAAACATTGTTTATTATTAGTATTTTTACTAAAACATATTATTAAATGATAAAATTAAAATGTTTAATATTTTATATCAAATAAAATAGGTTGGTAACTATTTAATCTGTAATAAGAAAATAAATCAAATAGTTCAAACACTTTAAATAATAATTTATAAAAATATAGTTTTTACTGTAGGTACATAATTAATATTATAGAATTAATGCTATCACATATTCACATGATAAAATTAAGAAATTGATTGTGCAATATAAAAAAAAAAACTGATTTGTTAGATTAGTCATTTTCATGATTAAATGCCATATTATAATATATTTTTGATTATTATAGATTTATAAGAGATGATTATAATAAATGATAAATATTTATAATTAGAGATTATGATTATATTATAATCCATAGTACTCGTAATTACTAATTAGTACTTTTAGATAGTAAACATGAAAACTGTTTATTTTTAATTTTTTATATATCAAATATTTATAATCTACATATATGTATATATATTTAATATGTTAACTAGTTTTTGTAAATTTATAAATAATTGATATTTTTATCAATTCTGTAAACTTTAATTAGTCAATAGAACTAGTGTATTACTACAACTATTCTTATAGTTACTAATATATTGTAACTATTATTACAAGGACAAATGAATACATTTTATGTCTGTAGATCATAATTTTTTTTTTTCACAGAATTTAAACCATTTGATTTTTTTTTTTTATTAGATACAATAATTGCTACATTACTAAAGTAGAACTTCTTCATAAATTTAAAATAAATTTTAAGTTATAAATCTTGAAAATTTTTATTCTCTTATTTCATTCCCATTAAAACCTTTAGTATGAATTATATAAATGACAAACCCATATCTAACTACAATCTGATCAAAAAATTATTATTAAATAGTAAAAATTTAAGATTTGGAGTTTTAGTCTATTTGTCATTTTTATAACTTATTAAACATCGAATAATTTTTGCTTGTCATACCTATCTTATAGATCTAGTAAATCATATTATTTTGACAAGCTGTATTGGTCATAAATAGTCTTACAGTTTGTTGGCATAGAAGTTATTAAAAAACTATTTAAGCGCTGTAGTGTAAAATACATTTAACAAAATAGTAGTAAACTCAATTATTTTGTTGAGAGTATGCAACTAAGCGTTATGGCCTCTTGCTTTTGGTTTTAACTTGTAATTTGATTTATTTAACAATTAGTTGGAATCTAGAAAACTGATTTACAATTATTTACTTAACATTACAGTCAATTTAATGTGCAGGTATCAATTATTTTTTCAATATAACTAATTAACTGAATACTAATTTTATTCATATTAAAAAACAATACCATCTATTGAAGTGTTGTTATGAATTTAGTACAACCAAAAAATAATGCTATGTATTTTTTAATCCATTATTCAATTTTAAAACAAAAATTGAATTAATTAAAACAACTGATTATTTAAAGAAGAATTAAAAAATTATATTTTTTCTTGATTAATTTTATAAATTTTATTGTTGAAAAAATGCAAAAAAAAAAATTAAAAAAAAATAATTTATAAGCTTACAAAGTTGCAATATGAGATAATCACAGTTGTAAACAAAGCTGTGGTTGTGACAATTGTTTATAGTACAATGTATAAAATAAAATCTTATCATTTTTTAAAGCTATCGTCCTGTCGGTTGTAAAGTAAACAAAATATTAGATGAACACGCATGGTATGTTGTTTCATCCTGTTGTATAATAGTAGTGAGCATAATTAATCACAGTAACTTACCATATAAAATTATATAAATCTGGATTGTCACATACACATTCTTTTACATAGATTAATCTACTTTATACAAAATAATATAAATTAATAATTTATCTTATATACATCAGTCTCGATTATCTTCTATATCAAATTAAATATGGTACATATTTATCATTCATGGAACTGTATTGGTTGCCATAGCAACCGGCCACATGATCGGACCTTTGGATATAAATTTTGACATTGCATTTTTAATGGCAACGAAATGTCTTTTAAATTCTAAACCACAACCTCTTGAAAGTCTAAAGTCCATAAGTGTCTGATGATTCATTGGAATCACATTCGATTTAAACACTAAACGCTGATCAGCGGTAGTGATTGTAACCTAAAGTCAAATAAAATATTTTTTATTTTTATAAATATCAAAACTATTTTAATAGGTAACTTACCAAACCAGATGTATTGATTTTACACGTATACCCCAAATCATCAAGAAACTGTGATAAAGTAGCTAATGCTTCATCAGATGATAAACAAACAATAAATCTCGTCATTCTTTTGACTAATTTCTGAATAGAATTCTAAAAAATAATAGTTAAAAAATATGAATATTGAATATTTATTTTTTGTATTTATATTATATAATTACGTTTAATGTAGTCGATACAGTTTGTGATGTCTGAATTTGCGAAGACAACAATAAATCTTCAACCTGAGTAGGCTGAGTAAATGAATGTATATCAGATTCATTCGGTGGAATAGATACAGAAAATGGAACGGCTGCTGGAGCGGGTTGAGAATAACAAGGACGAGCATCATCAAGTCCTCTATCGGATAAAACAGAAAGGCCCACTTTCTTGTTATCTAAATAAACATCATAGTATTGAATTATTATTAATATTGGTGGATATTTTTAGTTTTTTTTTAAAAATATTAATGAAAATAAATAATAATCATTATCTAACACAGAGATAAGATACCCAGCGATCACTGATGTTTGTATATATACTCAGAAATCACTTGGTACCTGAATATGTATTAGATTCAGTTTGAAGTTATTAACTTGATAAAATAAAAATGTACCACTTGTTTTTGACTTAATGAACCAATGATGCGATTGAATTTTTGGTATATCATATCTTTTGGATGGTGTGGGTATTAATATTTTTCTTACAAGAGACAATGCCAAAGTATCTAATTTGCACCATGGTGAATGATTAGCATAATCAGTAGTCTTCCATAATTTATAATCTTCATCATCAGCTGATGGCATTTCCCAAGGTAACTCTAAATTCATAAAAGTTCATAATTTAATTTTGGACAAATGTACAAATAACTAAAATATAAATAATTTTATTTAGTATACCTAAATTTTATAATTTTTTTTAATTAAAATAACTATTTTTATAAAAATTAGATAACTAGAATATTTTAATAAAATATCTATGTTAAGTTAAAAATTTAAAACAGAGTTTATTATGCAAAAATTATAGTTAGAATAATAGTATGTTTAAGATGTAACACAATTAATCATACCTAAGATTTTTTTTTTATTTCATTTTTTTGGAAAACATATTTATGGTGTTATTTAATGTTTTTGTAGCTTAAAAATTAATAGGTATGACAAATAAATCTTATTTAACTCAATTTACTCTAAGAGTACTTCTTCACAAGGCGACAGTGATCGGTAGAATTATCACTTTTGATGGGAAAATTATGTCAGTTAGAACCAGAAAAAAATTAATTATCGCCAAGAAGTTCTTTCAACAAAATAAACTACTCAGGCCCAAGAAATTATAGTTTTGTGCATGTAGACTGAAAAGACAGTTCTCCCTCCATTATGTATATCTACTGTACGTTTCAAACCATTATGGACATGTCAACGAGATGGGAAATGCACGGAATTGGACACATTTTGCTTGGGACATGGTAATGCATTTTCATGGGTCTCAAGAATTTAAAAATAAATTAGTTACATTCAAAATTTTTTTTTCATAAAATATATATTTTTTAGCATCAATTCATTTAATGTGAGGCAACTTGAACGATTTATTGTTCTATATAGAACACACTTTATTATTAATATTTTGATCAATTTATAAAAAGAAAAATAATTAGAGCATAAAAATTTTTGATGCTGTATCAATTGCCAATAACTATGGTACAGAAGCTTTAGGGCGTCTGTTTAAAATATACCTACAGCTAAAGTACCAAAGAGATCAACAATGACACATTAATGAATTACCATAGTTTATTAGAGAATATATGTGAATCATTTATTATTAATAGATAGTTTTTATTATAAGTCTATTCAAAATAATTACCTCCAGCTAGCATAGAAACCAGTATAATACCACATGACCAAATATCAGAAGGTTCTGCTTGATAAGGCAACTCTGACAGAACTTCAGGAGCTAAATAAGGTCGTGTTCCACACCTTTTTTCAAGTTTACGTCTCTATTTAAGTAAAATTTATATAACGTTAAAATTATTTTAATGCGTTTCACAAAAAAATTAATAAAATGTTACTATGGATGATTCTTTAAATGTGAAAATTAATTATCTAGGTATAATAATTATTACATACTTTATTTTTTTTGTTCATATTTTAAATTATATTAGCTAACTCACATTAAAAGAATCATACATAAAATAAATATTACCTACTTTTCCACCACATAAAAATAAAGTTGCTAATCCAAAATCACTAATTTTTAAATTTCCATGTTCATCTAATAATAAATTTTCTGGTTTCAAATCTCTATGAGCAATACCATTACTATGTAAATATTCCTAGAAAATATTGTTTATATTATTAATATGTTTAGACAAAAGCTTTATATAAAAACATGAAACATACAACTCCAGCAAGCAACTCTTTAAAAAACTTCTTGGCTTCTGAGTGAGGCATTCCAATATCAGGTTCTAAGCCACAAACAATACTTATTACTTAAAATAAAAATATATAAATACTAATTAACTTACCAATTCGATCAAAAAGTTCACCCCCTGATGCATATTCTAAGAATATATAATAATTATCTTTGCTATGACGATGGCCAAAATATTTTATAATACTTGAATGCTTCAATCGGGAATGTATAGCTGCTTCTTTTTTTACCATCATTAGTGCATCAGGAAAATTTTTTAGATCAATTATTTTCATAGCTACAGTCCCATTAGTATTTTGGTTTATCAAAAGTTTTACTCTAAAATATCAGCATACAAAAATTAGGTATAAATTATATTTTTAATATATATAGTAATAAAATAAAAAAAAAACCAAAAATTATTTTATTAAATATAAAGATAAGTAAAAATAAAAAGTGTTGTATCATTTATTTATTTCCATATTATTAAAATATCAAGGAATAATGTACTCTGCCTCTAAAACATAGAATAGGGAATTCTAAACAACTTTAGCACAAGTAAAGATAAAAGTAAGTAAATAGATATTTAATAAAATCAAAAAAAACTTCAATTAATATAGATGAAAATGTATGTAGGGGATGCTTGTCTTATTATAAGATTTGTTTAAATCAATTAAATCAGACTATTCTACTCTTATAAAATAAATTAATGAATCCCTATATTTTAATATGATTTAATATAATATAATCTAAACATACTCGCCAAACGTTCCTTCGCCTAATGTTTGAGCAATTCTCCATCCTTCAACAAATTCAGAACTCATTTGTAATTTTGGGTTAGCAATATTGAGTAAGCCTTCAAACTATTTTATTGTCTGTAAAATAAATAGGTATCAAATATAGTAATACCTTATACCTATCTATTATGATGTATAATACATAAAAAACATGATGTGTAAAGTAAATGTGATTTTTGTATTTTTATTGTTTAATACACGCTAATTAAAATTTTGATTTTTCAAAAAAAATACAAATATTAAAATTAGAATTATAACTTTTGTTCATATAGTAGAGTCAAATAATAATGGTATTACTCACGACTTGGATTATTCCACTTATCCTTGCTTCTGGGCGAACTGACACGTTAACGTGGTATAAACAATGAGACTCGATAACTGAAAACTGAAATTCGAATTTTAACTCGTCAAAAAAAAGTGTTGAAGTGGATAAAAAAAAAAAGTAAACAGTCACAACTAATTAGAGCAATAAGTAAATATTGAATAGGTACTATAATTATAGTATATCGCAAATTCCGTTAACGCTAACCCGTTTGTTTTCAAATGTTTAATTTTTAAGGTTACCTTCGTCGTTTATTCGTTTCGTCATTTGTACAATCGAAAATTATAAACTATCGATATACGATAATCCAAAGACTTTCTAAGTGATCCAATGATTGTTATTCTATGATTCAAGACGTATAAAGTACCCATGTTATTACAAATATATAATACAAATTAAATTATAAAAAAAATAGTTTTTGTATTGATGTGTGAAAAAAACAAAAAGTCGCCAAAAATATTCTGATTAGTTATTACTGTTATTAGGTTTTACTTTGTATTTTACTATTATTATTTTTTTTTTTTTAAATATTTGTCTGTGGTAATTATTGTAATTAAAATATTTACATAATTGACAAATACCTAATAATAATTGCGATTTGATGTTATAGTAGATAATGAAATAATATACCTAATAACAAATATTGTTATTATTCGAAAAAATTGGAAAGGTTAGTAAATAGTAGGTAATGTAAAATCTGAAAAGATAGGCAAGTGGGTACCTTTTGCTGTGCTGTAGATATATTAGGTATTGAGAGGGTCATTATTATGGGTCTGTTAAATTGTAATTCGGGCGTCACCGTTTTCCGTCCAAATTGATCTTTCCGTTTACTGCCAATACAAAAATATATATTTCCTTTTTCCGCCACCACAAATTCAGTTTCTATATTTTAGTAATCCTTTGCTATGTAAACAAGTAGAGTTATTGATAATTGGTACCTAATGAGTTTTAAAATAATAAAAATAATTAAGTAATCAATTTTTAATTAAATATATGATTTATATAATACAAAAACACATTCAAGTGATACTTAAAATTAAAATTATGTAGAATATTGTAAAACATGTTATTACAAAAAAGTCTATATTACGACGTAAAATACAACATCACAGTCTGCAAACATTTATTTATATTATTTATTTATTTCTTATAGAGTTATACGCTATTGATTTTATAAATGTATATCGGAATATTTCTCCCCTTTTATACTGGTAAATTAAATATTGGTTTTATTTTGTCATTTTAAAATTTGGTTTCGTGGTGTTTTTTGTTCACCGACGCTTTTTAATTTGCAATAAATGTCTGTTTGAATTTCTTCAATTAAAACATTTAACCGTTGTAAAATAGATGGCGAATGTCGATAAAAACTATTTTTAAAATGTGCATGAAATGACTCACAGGCGTTTGTTGAGTATGTAAGTTTTGAAGATGTAAGTGCCCAAAGTTTTGGAGGATAAATACAATCTTCAGAAATATATGTTTCTACATAATAGTCAGCAAACTTTTGTAGTTTTTCATCAATCAGGCACTCACTCATAAAGTCGTCGGTGTAACAATCACTTGCATCTTCCGAATTTAGAAATAATAAGCAAAATATATTACATAACTATTTACTAATTTTAGATGACTCGTCTTTATACACATTTGATAAGCCAATTTCTTGTATTTTACTGTACCAAGACTGAGTCAAGTGAAATCGGCATCCTGAAATATTGGTTTGCGTCCATATTTCAGAAACTGCATTAATTATAGCCCTTTCAAAGTCCACAGTTATGTTGGTGGGAGAAAAATTTAACCCCAAATCTTTGTACTTTTTGCTTATTGCACGAAAACATAAATATACGTTTGCTTACATTTATTTGGTAATAAGCAAAAAACTAATGAACATAGTAACCATTAAAATATCCATGAATCGAAAAAAATTGTAAAAAAAAACTGAGCACTATAATCGAAAGTTCCGTCCATATAAATATTATCAACTGTTGATGAAAATCAAAGATTTGTTTCACACGAAAATATTATTATATTTTCTTTTATATCATTCACCGATAAAAAATTTTCATTTTGTTTAGTTTTCACGTCAATTGAATTGAGTACGTTGTGAGCATCAGCTATATTGGTAGGATTTTGAGGCATAATTTTGCGTCGGTTTTCATAAATATTTTTTCGGATCCTATTTATACCTGATGAATTACTATTTTGTGCGATTTCAGTTAAAATAATTTTTTTTTGGTCTGGTACTTACATTTTCAATAGCTTTTCTTTTACATGCTGTATTTAGCGCCTGCTTTTTCAATACTAGGCTGGAATTTTTATCATGATTGTACTGTGGTGTATTTGTATTGTTAATAACTGTATTATTTATATCTGTATACATTTTTGCAGTTCAGTTTTTAATTGTACATCGCCAACGAATAAGTCCTTTATTAATTCGAAGTTTAAAATTATTTAAAATTAACTGCTTTTTACCACAATTACTTTCAATTATATTTTCCATTGTGTGTAACGTACTTTTTTTATGAACTACAACACAAATTAAAATGTTATATAGGTACCTATCTTAAAATCTATAAAAGATTAAACCAGACACGCTTTATCTTTATTGTCAGTTGTCGCATGAATTTTGAACGTAATCTTTCCTCTCTTTTTTATTAATGGAGAAAAAACATGACTGTGAACGTATTATTTATGTAATAAAATATACGTAGGTATTAGGTATATAATATAATATTTTAATTCTTTCAATCAGGGGATACTAGAATATAGCAACTGAAATTGGTAGTGGCGGAAAAAGGAAATATATATTTTTATACTGGCGGTAAATGAAAAGGCCGATTTTGGCGGAAAAGAAGATCAGTGATCACCCTGTAATTTAAATAATTCAATAATATTTTATTGTAAACAGAGGCGGGGATCTAGGATTTTTTTATGGTGGGTGTTATTTTGTTAATAATAGACCTTGAGTACTAATTATGTACAATTTGGGAAAAAAAAAAAATAATAATTTGGTACTTAAACAGTGAAGAAACCTAGTTTTGCATTATGTATGTATATAATTAATTTTTTATTCTGGTAGTTTGAACCAAAAATTCGTCACTCAATAATTTATTAGTAATTTTGAATAAAGATATGTGGATCGGTGGGTTCTTCAGCCACGGAATAGATGAAATTCATCTATTTTGTGCTTCAGCTACCAAGCACCTCACCCCCTTAAAACCACCATTTATTTGTAAACGAAAAACGATTCTAAGCGTAGACAGTCTGTCATTGTACAACACTAAATATATTTCATCATATGCTATTAAAGTTATTTACTTACTTTTAGTACTTTTAGTGTAAGATATATTTAGTGCGGTTTATACGTAGATACAATATTGTTTTCATAGTTTTTGTTATTTTTAAGTTCATGTTTTATGTTTTCCTTTAACACGTAGATGGATAGTTGTCAAATATTACTGCTATGGCAGTAATATGAATAGTTGACGTCAGGGGTCATTTTAAATATTACTGCTATAGCAGTAGTATAAAAACCATCCAAAATATGTCATTACTGCTATAGCAGTGATAATATTTTCAATGGTCTTATGAAAGAGTAAATTGTTTTGACTCTAGACATCTCATCGGACCATTGGGCACTCTATTTTTAGCTTGCTTACACACGTCTTTATGAACTTTATGTTATTTAAACCGAGACATTTCACTTCAATTGAGTGAGGGATAACGGTGTTATTTATTTTTACAAGAGGGCAGTCATGGGGCCTGAGTACAAATGTGACGAAGGAAGACTTCAATTCGTTGATTAAAATTTTCCATTTACCGAACCATTGAGAAAGAGTATCAATGTGTAATTGTAATTGAAAGCCTGCAGTGATATGATCAGCAGCTATAGATAAAAGTGCAGTATCGTCTGCGTAAGTTCCAATGATTGTTTTTTCTGAAGTAGGTAGATCTGATGTGTAAATTATATACAGAAATGGTGTTATGTCACTGCCTTGCGGGACCCCAGCAGCAATGGGAAATTGTTTTGATGGTTGAAGGTTGTGGCGAATTTTGAATGTGCGATTGTTCAAGTGCGATTTTAAGATAAGATAGTAAGGGGCGGAAAATAAAGTTTTTAATTTAAAGAGTAGTCCCTCGTGCCAGACGGCGTCAAAAGCTTTAGCTATGCCCAAAAATACTCCAGCACAGTATTTTTTTTGTTTTTAAAGCAGTTGAGCGACTCGGCGAAGTTAATGGGTTGTAGAGTGGTTTACGCGAAAACCAAATTGGAAGTTGCGAAAGTTTTTGTTTTCATTTGTTATGACAAAGAGGCGCTTTAGTAAGGGTTTTTTCCAGGATTTTACCAAGAACTGGTATAAGACTTATGGATTGGTATGAGAATGAATTTTCTGGTTGTTTGCTAGGTTTAAGTATTGTTACGATTACTGAGGATTTCCAATTTGTTGGAAAATAAGAAAGTCTTAGGGTAGAATTGTATGAATGAGTAAGATATATTATTGTTTTAGCCAGTAGGTTTTTGATTACTTTGTTGGTTACAAGATCGTGGCCGGGAGATTTCCTGTTGGCCAATTTTTTTTATTATCTCTCTTATTTCAGCTGGTGAGGTGAATTTTGCAAGTAGGGCTATGGGTGGTAAGAAAGGAGTGACTCTGTAACCATCTCAAGATATAGAGGCGGTGGTGAGATTGAGTGTGATATGAATACTGTTGATAGTTAATTTGCTAGTGTATCTGCTTTTTCACTGTCGATAACTGCTGAAGTGTTTTTAGTCGTCGAAGAGGCGGCGTAATTTCCTTTAATCGGAGAATTGATTTGGTTTTGCGCCAAAATGAGCCATTTTTTTAAGTGAGAGATTCTACAGATAATTTTTATAGGAGTCGTTTACGTATATTTTTAGAAGATATTTAAGTTTATTCGAAAGAATGTTGTACCTTGACTTGTCATCTGAGTAGCGAGTTCGTTGCCAAATCGATCTTGCTCTGCGTTTGTCAGCTAGGAGTTAAGGAAGAATATTCAAAGAGTACATTCAACGGATCCACTTCAACCAAGTTGTACAAACAAAATAGTTATTGAAGGTATATATCGTTCTCATGACTTTTTAGATATTTAGACGTTATTCAATTTTAATGTTTATTGTTATTTTAATTTTAATGTTAAAAATTAAAAAAATTAAAAATTGTTGTTCTGATCATTCAGTTGAAGTGGACT